GCAGTTTCAGTGTTTAAGGGCTTTGCTCTGGCCGGTGCACAAATCCCTGCAGTGCTGGGCAGGGGCTCCAGGCAGGGCCTGCCCGGGCTCTCCTGCCCCGTGGGCACCCCCAGACCCCGCTCAGAGCCCCCCCAAGCCATTCCTGCAGTTCCTGGGGTGCAGGGGGAGCTCCCAGTCCAGCCCCAGCTCCCCCAACCCCACAGCTCCGGGCCAGGCTGGGAGCATTCCCAGTTCTCCCAGTTGAGTTGCTCACCCCCTCTGCTATGCACCCCCCACTTTTGTACTAGTCTGTGTTGGAAAAAAAAGTAATAAACTTGAAGTTTATACAATCAGACTAAGCTTTAATGAACGTTGCATGGTTTCCTCATTGAAACTTAGGGGCCACCTTGAATGCAAGAGCTGTTTATTAATTTTTTTTTTTTTTTWATTGATGACAAACAGGTTTTAAAACAAAACTGAGACAAAAAAAAATTTAACCAAAAAAAGAACTTTAACACCGTGCTAGCACTGATGTCTGGATTTGTAAAACTCAGAGTTTTAACTGCTACAAAGGAAAAAACCAGCACAAAGCAGAGGCAAGCATTCCCAGCAGTGAAATCAGGGGTGAGGGGGCTACATTACTCATGGATAGCTTYGCACAGAGGGGTCCAGCTTAAACCTATCGGAAAAATCTACGCCACTACGCAGCCTACGGAAGGAAAAAAAATTAAAAAGCCCTTCGGCAATGTTAATAAATAAAACAGTCCATCTCACAAGGAAGGAAGGTGGCCTGTGTCTCCATTCTTTCACTGTTTTAYAAGTCTAAACTCTGGAGGCTTTGGATGAGAAAAGAATGGGTTTTGTTATTTTTGCGGTTTTTGCAGTTTCTGGAGCTCCCCCGAGGGGGGTGGTGGCCCGGGGTTGGTGTGTCCCATGCCAGGTCTGCTCTGGGGGACACACTGGGGCAAACACAGGGCAGGGAGGGGCGAGGGCTGCAGGGAGGACAGGGAGGAAAGGGCTCCCCGACCCCGGCTCTGAGCGGGGCTGGAGCTGTTGGGTACATTCACATCTGGGGGATGCTGAGCTCCCCCACAAAGACACAAACGCCTGGAGCCCTTTGAGAATAAAGCAAACTCCACTGCAGCTGCACAGCCCCAGCTCCGGGGTCAGGCTCTAGCGCTGTGGCCATCGGGAGGTGGAGTTATTCCAATTGAGGGATCTGCTGCAAACAGGGACCGGCAATTCTCTCTGGTGTGACACAAAGGAAACGCTGCCAGCGCTGCCCTGCSAGCCTCGGGCACAGCTCCGGGCGGGGGTGGCTCCTCCTCGGGGCTGCTCTCAGCTCCGACTCCCCGTGGCCACTCCCTGCCACACCTCAGGCTGTCCCTCCACCCCAAAGCCTGACCTAAATCCCAACTGAACCCAGCTGTCTCTCAGGCCACCTTCCACCASCTGCCTGCTTTGTCCGTTTGTCCACCCTGCTCCTGCGATGCCGTGGAGTCTTTACTTCCCAACCAAAATAATCCCCAATTTCCACTACTCCTCCTCCCCGAGCTGCGGGGACCAAAGCAGGCCTGGCTGCACCTTCCCTCCAGGGCCGAAGGGCACAGGAACCCATCCCCTTTCAAGCATAAAGTTCATCTGACAGAAAGGCTGTTTTTCACAGAGTAGAGTCCAGACAGTTGCCAATTAAAGCATACAGAAAACACTTTGAAACCCTCCTGCTCGAGCACGCAGGCTCCTCTCTCTCACTCTAACTGCTATCCCACGTAGGAGGAAGAGGCTGATTGCTGCAACTTGAAATCACACTGAAAGTTCTCAAGGTTGGTGCTCTAATTTTTGAAACTTTTTTTTTTTTTGGTTTTTTTTTTTTTTTGTTTTTTTTTTTTTTTTTTTTTGTTTTTTTTTTTTTTTTTTTTTTTTTTTTTTTTTTTTTTTTTAATATAAGCTTCTCAGAACAAGGATCTAAATCTCCCAGGTCCACCACTAAGAATTCAGAGACAAAACTTCTTAAAAAACTCAGTGCTCCTTTTGAAAGAATCTCTTTTAAAACCACCTCGTTCAGAATGTGGGCGACACGATGACACACGAATTTCAGAGCCAGTGTTGGACAACAAAACCTGCACCTCAGAGTTGAGCAGCAGCTGGATTTCTGCTTGGCTGGCTGTCACCCAGGCAGGGACTCTCTCTTGCTCTCTCTCTTTTTCTCTCTTTTTCCCCCTCTCTCAGATACTCTGCTTCTACAACGTGAACTGCTAAAATACCCCTGACAAACGAGCCCAACTCTGAGATGAGGGTTTTCCTCTCCCCATCTGCTCTGAAACGTTAATGCCCTGCTCGCAAAGAGAAGTCATGGAATGAAGTGAAACCTGCTTTTAAGGCCCTTCTCCGGAGCTGGGGGGACTGGGGGAGCAGGGACTCAGCTGAGCATCCTGTTGGGGTGAGTTCCTTCCCACGAGGCGCCAGCCAGTCCTTCAGGGCTCTCTCTCCTCTCGGTCAGTCTCCTTGTCTCAGTGAGCTCTAGCAGTGGCTCTCTCGCGCGCTCCTTTCTCTCTCTCTCTCCTCTCCGTTGGTTGCTTTCTTTCTCCTGTTGCTCTCACACAGTGGTGCTTCAGTTTTAGCAGTGGAAAACAGGTATCCATTTTATTTTATTTTTTTTATTACCCAGAATAAAATGCTGATGAACTAAGCTCCACACAAGCTTAGCTCTTCTTCCTCAACCTGCGGGCAGAACGAGAGCTGGGTTAGGAGGGGTCCTGGTCAAACCCTGCCCAGGGGGGTCAGTCGGGGATGGGGACAATCAGGGGAGGGGGACAGTTAAAATCGGGG